TGGTTCCCTGAATGCTCTCATGGAGCAGAGCTGCCCACTCATCCTGGACTATATGCCTACCTCTGGACTGTTATATGAGAGAGAAATTAACTTTATTATACATTTTTTTTCTTTTTTCAGAGACTGGATCTTGTTACATTGCTATCACAGGTATGCCCACTGCTGATCAGGACAGTTTTGTCCTGCTCCATTTCTGACTTGGGCTGATTCACCCCTTCTTAGGCAACCTGGTGGCACCCCACTCCCGGGAAGTTACCATATTGATGCTAAACTTAGTGAGGACACCCAACTGGCATAGTACACTGCAGCCCAGAACTCCTGGACTCAAGGGATCCTCCTGCCCCAGCCTCCTCAGCTGAGACTACAGGCACACGCCACCACCCCTGGATAAACTGTAATCTTTACTGAGTTATTTAATTTGGGGGTCTCTTTGTTATAGTAGCTTAGCCTGTACCCTACTACCACAGGTGACCTCTCAGAAAAGGCGACATTTAAGCCAGGACTTAAATGACAGGAATGAACAAGCCATACAAAGAGGAAGAGAAAGAGCATTTCAGATCAGTGAAAATCTCCCTAAAGAAAGAAAGGTCAGTATGGCTGAAGCACAGGGAGTGAATGGTGGAGATGAGGTTGGAGGAAAATTAATCCAGAATCAGATCACATAGGAGTTTGGAAGATAGGTTAAGAAATTTTTATTTTAAGTGTGATAGGAAATCACTGGAGACTTAATAAGTATCATAATTGGGCTTATGTTTTTAAAAAATCACTCTGGCTGCTCCATGGTAAATCAGGTGAGGTGGCAAAGTGAAGACAGAGACTACTATAGTTAGAAAGCCACTGCAATAGTTCAGGGGAACTAATTTTAGTGCTCTGAACTAGGGTGGTAGAAATGGAGATAGAAGAGGACAAATTCTTGAAATGCTTTAGAAGTATCAAGAAGGCTAATGATGGACTGGATGTAGGAGAATGCAGGATATAATGGAATGAAGGATGACTTTGGGGCCGATGTGGTGGTTCGTGCCTGTAATCCCCACCTTGGGAAGCCGAGGCAGAAGGATCACTTAAGGCCAGGAGTTCGAGACCCTGACTCTACAAAAAAATAGAAAAATTAGCTGAGAGTGCTGGCACGAGTAAGCTGAGGCAGGAGGATCTCTTGAGCCCAGGAGTTGGAGGTTGTGGTGAGCTATGATGACGACACTGCACTCTAGTCTGGGCAACAGGGCAAGACCTTGTCTCAAAAAAAAAAAAAAAAAAAGATGACTTTGGATTTGAGGAACTGCTATTTCATGAGGTGATTATTGTATAAAAGGGTAGACCATAATGAGGCAAGAGTGGAGGCAGAGAGGTCTGCCAGGGAGCTTAAGTTGAGGACTGCTGGATTTTTGTTTGTTTTTGTTTTTGTGGAGAGAAGGCTGGTTTTGCTGTGAAAAGGAACAGCTCTCTTTTAGTCATGCTAACTTCTATATGCTTATTAGGCATTCAAGTAGTCAGGTAGGCAAGTGTCCTAAAGGTCTGGAATTCAAGGGAGATGTCTGGGCTGGAGAAATAAATTTGAAAGTCATTAGTATATGAATGGGTCATAAAGTCATGGATTGGATGAGGTTGATCACCAGGAAATAGAGCAGAGAAGCCAAGAGCACTGCAGCACTGGGAAGAAAATCCTGATGTAGAAGGAAAATCAAAAAAGAGAGATGTCACAAAAACTTGGAGAACTGTTTCGAGAAGGAAGGTACAGTTAATGATATCACAATCTATTGAAAGACTGAGGAAAATGAGGATTGAGGCCATCCATTGAACCACTGGCTTTGGCAAGAAGTGGGCCTTGAGAAGCGCCATTTCAAGTGTTAGGGATAAAATACCCATTTGGAGGATTTGAAGGAGAGATGAGGAGTTAGAAGCCACAAGTATGGACATGGCTTTATATTTTTTAGGGAGTTTGCTGTTAGGGGAAGCAAAGGAATTAGGTGATAGCTGAAGGGAGAAGTGGGGTCAAGTAAGAATTTTTTAAAATTTGCAAGAGATCCTAATAGAAATGGTTACTAAAGAGAATAAAGGGGGAGAGGGATATCTTTAAGACGCCTTAATAAGTCCTAGGGGATGGGTCCTTTAAGTCTTTTAAGCAGCCTTTTATGTGCAAAGTACTTTATCCAATAAGCATTTTTAAGAAACGTGGTCATTCTGATAGAAATAAGGCTGATGAGAAAGGAAACCAGTTTGGAATGATAATAAATATGCTTTGGACATACTGAGTTCAGTGAAATATTTAAGCAAAGATTAACTGACCAACTTAGTAATTAGTACAAAAGATTTTGAGCTTCAAGATAATAATGATGGTTAAGAAAAATGATACATTTTGCAAAGAACCAATCCAGTTGGTAGACACTATTTAAATTATCCTATATCAAATTAACAAGGATTTACTTTGCCAAGATTCTTGGCACTTTTATGTTAACTTAAATTGCATTGGGGAAAAAACATAATAGTAATTGAGAAGCAACTAATTATAAGCAATTATAAGCCAAATTATGTTTATACCACAATTAGTGTTTGAGGTGGTTTAGTAGACAAATTCTTCATTTCAATAAGCAACCATCAAATAATTGAATAGCTTGTAAAACAGAAATACTTCTTTTATCTTTATTCCAACTATAATAACCACATTCTCTTTAATTATCATTATAATAAAATAAGCAACATTATCTTTTGTCCCAATCCCCAGTTTGAGTTGGGATGCTTTTAAAAACATGGCAAGAGTAATATAGGTACCTACTTGACAACATAGCTTCTTTCAACAGGTTTCATGAAGACATGTGAATCCAGTTCTTGTAAGACAAGTATTACCCTGCAGGGTTTCTACAGTGCAAACTCAAACCATGTCTTTTTCAGTGGATTTTTCATGCCGACATTATTTTATTTCACTTTGAGGAAAGTTTTTCTCTAAAGATGATAGGGAAAAGTCTTTTTGTCTTGTGACAGTGGTAATTTTATTTCAGGTTGGGGTATTTTTTTCTCCCCTATTTCCAAGTAAAAGTCCTACCTTTTCGATGAAATTTGGTTTTCTCTTTCGAACTAGATTGTCATATAATATTAATAAAAATAACAAAAGATTTTTTATTCACCTTTTAATAAACTGCAAAGAGGAAGGGAAGGAAAGAAAGACACAGATTCAGCCTCCTTATTAACTTTCATTTCAGTCTGTCTATTAGGTCTTATAATTGTTTGAGAAACTGAGTCTCCTCTCTCTCAAAGAATAGGATTTTTGGGTTTAAAAAATATACATATTTGAATTATCAGTTTGGCTATAATTTTATAGTAGTCTGCAATCTTGCTTCATGATGCCACGTATCTTATGATGAACAATTCATGACTTCCTGCTTTCTAAGCTTTCATTAAAATTTAAAGTTACTAAAAATAAGAATTCTACTCAATTCATGTAATTGTATATACAAAATGTACCAAAGAATAAGATGTTTTTAATAAGAAAAATTACAAAAGAAACAGAATGTGTTCTTATTAAAATATATGTAACTTTGTCTAATTCAGAGGTCATTTAAAGGTTGAATCAAAATAAATTTAGAAAGAAAATAAAAACAAAATTCCACTTTTGAGTAAGAGAAAGATGTAAAAAGGCAATGAATATAGAAATACATTTTTTTGGTAAGAAAGATTAAACAGAAAGAATAATGTAAAGAAAAGATCTTGCGTGGAATTTTTTGTCCTAAAATGACTGGGTATTTAGGAAAAGGCAATGTCAGGACAAAACAGAAAGTTTTTAGGCATGTTTTGTAAATGGTATGTGCAGGTTGGGATAAAGTTCATAAAAGTGAATTTATTAAGGAATTTTGTATGTGATCCAGTTGGCTGTAATTAAAAAAATTTTTTTTCGCTAAAACAAAAAAAAAAGTCCTACCTTTTATTACCATAATTTTACCACCTCAGGTTAAACTGACCACAACCTGACAACTATTTTATACTTTACACTGATTAATGAAATATTAGATGGATGGTTCTTTAAATTACCACTAGTGATAGCTCTGGAATCCCTGTTATATTAATGTCCACATAAACCCTTCTTAATAGCACCGTAAATACAGGGAGCGTGGGGAACCCCTTTTAATTAGTTCATCAGTTTAAGAAAATTCAAAGAAAAATATATTAAATTGTTTCAGATTACATTTAACAAATCTAGTTTCTAGAAATAGTTTTTCTGAAAAAATTCCCACCAGTTGACCTAATGGAGCACGGAGTTGCCAGCGCCTCACGGGGGCTGCCGCGCTCAGCCAACTCCGAGGCTTGGCGAGCCACATGGTGGGAGGTGGGTAGAGCTGGAGCCCTCCGAGGCTGGGCGCCACGTTGCTTTTGCCTTATGCAACCGGGAGACAATGCTTCTGGCTATTGTATAAACGGGTCGAGAACTGCATTCATTCACACATGAGCTAAGGCGTGAGCAGAATTAAAGCGCCTTCTAATTCGACCCTTGGCAACGTGTGCGTCACGGACAAATGTTGAGCTTTAATGCCTGGCTGCGTTCGCCTCCGGGACACACACTTTAAAGAATGGCCAAGTACCTCGACAGTCGCGGTGAACTGCACGGGATCAAAACCACCACGCCAACACAGCACTGGCCACCACCCCCGCCGAACCCCGCCAACACCCCTAAGGACCCTCCCATGTTTTCTGCTAACCAGTTGTTTCACGCAGCGCCTCACAGCCTTTCGTCACTCCGTTCCCGCTCTCCCCACCCACTCTGCATTCGACCCTAGGTTTCTAGTTCCCAGCTGGACAACACAGAACCATCTCCCACTCCGGGGACAGCGACAGCCCGAACCGTAGCGCAGCGGGTAACTCCCGGCGCTCGCTGCAGGCCATCCGCCAGCCAGCCGCCACTCCGCGCTGAGTGATTGACAGGCGGCGGCAGCTATGGGCCGTGGGGGCGGGGCCATGCGTCACTTCCTGGCCTTTCAGGGAGCCGGAGTATATAAAGTCGGTGTTCACGCATCGCCCTCGCTTACACAGTATGGCCGGCGACATTAGCTAGCGCTCGCTCTACTCTCTCTAACGGGGAATCAGCGGACTACAAGAGACTGAACTGTATCTGCCTCTATTTCCAACAGACTCACGTTCAACTTTCGCTCACAAAAAGAAGCCGGGAAAATTTTATTAGTCCTTTTTTTAAAAAAAGTTAATATAAAATTATAGCAAAAAAAAAAAAGGAACCTGAACTTTAGTAACACAGCTGGAACAATCCGCAGCGGCGGCGGCAGCGGCGGGAGAAGAGGTTTAATTTAGTTGATTTTCTGTGGTTGTTGGTTGTTCGCTAGTCTCACAGTGATGGAAGCTGCACATTTTTTCGAAGGGACGGAGAAGCTGCTGGAGGTTTGGTTCTCCCGGCAGCAACCTGACGCAAACCAAGGATCTGGGGATCTTCGCACTATCCCGAGGTGAGTCCCCGGGGCATTCGCTGACATATCCGGGCCTGGGGGCTGTCGCCGCCGGCAAAGCACCCAACACGGGTGGAGGTTGGATTCCTGCAGCCTTCAGGTGGGGCCAGGTCCCCGGGCGGGGTTCGCTTCGGCGGTCGTGGAGCGTGCCTGGTTTTGGGGGGAGCGGCCGCGTCCACGCGGGGTTCGAGCCGGCTTCTCCCGCGCCGTTGCCGTCCGGGAACAGCCTTGGGGGAGGGGAGCAGGCCGGCGCGGCCGCGTGCTCAGGTAACGTCCCCGGCGGGGCGGGCGGCGCCGCTCAGAGTGGTTTGCGGCCCGCGCCTCCCGACTTCCCCCTCTAGCTAGCGTTCGGGGCCCTGGGGGGGCCAGAGGGGGTGCGCGGGTTCCCTCCCGGCAGGTGTGGCTCGGCGGGCTTAGTCAGGCGCTAATTCGGGCGTGCCTGCTCGGGGAGTGGAGGAGGGAGGGAGTGGGTCCGGAGCGGGACTCGGGTTTGCCGCGGGCGCCGGCAGGAGTGGGCCCTCCCGGCCGTGTCTGAGGAACAGGCGAACAGGCCTTCCACCCGCTCTCGCCGCGGGCAGCATGTGGCACTCGGGCGGCGGGGATTGGGCGGGAGCAGTGGTGTCGCAGTGGCGGGGCCCCGTCGCAGCCCTAACGCGCTCTGCACCAAAGCCTCGTCTGGGCAGCTAGATGGGCGGCACGGCCCCTGGGCCGGCCCCGGCAGACGGCCGCGGAGCCCGCCGAGGGTTGCTCCCGAGTCTCTTGACCTTGGGCTGTGTAACCTGTTACCGAGTCGGCAGGATCCGGGGGACCGGAGCGGGGCGGAGGAGAGGTGCGGGGTGGACTAAGGTTTGCCTGCATTTGCAGGGTAGAGGCCCGTCTGACCCAGGACATAATACCTTTAATACCTTAAGCTTGAGCAAAGGAATCTGGGGCCCCACTCCCGCCTCATCGCGCAGAAGAGAGGTTTTAGTGGTCTTGCCGTGGAAAGCAAGCTCAAATAAAAGCACAGGAGATACTGTGGCTGCTTGGGCCTTGTTGTCGGCGGCAGTCACACCAAGCGCAACCCAGTGCCTTCCTATGCCCCTCCACCGGTTCCCTGGCTCCTCCGCGCGCAAGTGCGGCGAGGGTGGCTGTGTGGCCGAGGAACCGGCATGGCCCGCTTCATTGAGAGGCGGCGACCAATGAGCTCCTGGGCGCGACGGAGAGCCTGGCCCGAGGGTGTGGGCCAATGGGCGTTTTAGGAATGTTGGCTGCGCTCGCAGCCGTCCCTTGACAAAAAGCAACTGGAGAAGAGAATCCAGGCAGACACGTGCTGCTGAGACTTTCAGGCACGTTGGGAAACCGTTTTTAGTAGTGTATTTTGAGTGAGTCCGTTGTAGAAAAAAATAATCCTGATAGCTAAAATGTGACGGGTCTCACTTTTCAAGCTTTGTGTGACACTCATAATGTCTAGAGTGCTTACTGTGTGCCAGGCAAGGCTCTAAAGGCTTTACGTTATATTATAGGAAGTGGTTACATTTCTCAGTGACCACGGGGAAGCTTAGTATTTCCTCCATTTCACAGATGGGAAAAGTGGTGTTTGTGATAGGCGTTTGGTAAAACGATTGCGATCAAAGTTAGTACCTAGAAGAAATAATGGTTAAGAACAGTATTAGAAAATGAATAGCAAAGATTGTGTTACCCTGGTTTTTTGAATGTTCGAAGCCTTAAATGATTTGTAAGTACTTGTTCTTAATAAAGGGGAGAGGGTTTTGTTCTCATTCAAGATCTTAGGCAAAAAATGCCAGAATTTAAGCTTGGGCTTTTTGGCTGTTAAGAGTTTCTTGAATCAAAGGGGCATGGTTAAAAAGGCAGCCTGCTTTCTTTAAATGTTTAAAGGCCACTTTTACTTTGTACTTTTACTACTTCAGTGTGGCTCTTAAAATGATGGCCCAAGTTAAACCTTTAAGCACAGAATATTCCCTTTTGTAGAGTTCATGATTTAGTGCCATCCGTTTTGTGGACATTTAACATTCATTAAACCACTGTTGAGGCTACCACCACATCACGACTGCTGTGGATAAAGCCGGTTAGGCAAGTAAGAACTGGGAAATCTCTTTCATTGGAAGGATATACAAGAAAAAGACCTGAAAATCATCTTGGATTTAACTAAAAGGTCTAATGGTAACCTTTGTGGGAACATTTTTCAGTGACCACTCAAACAAGGACGCACTAATTAGGTTATTTACTGAGGTAAAAAAGTATCTGAAATAGTAGAGGCTGACCTGAAATCAGTGGGCTAGCAAGAAGGAGTCATTGATAGTCCGGTCTTTGAGGAGGTGGGGTACCAGCCCCAGTGACCCCATGGAAGATTATCAGTCATCTGGAAGAGTAATGCATAATGAAATGGTTAAGTGCCTGGCCTCTGGAATAACAAGATTTGAATTCAAACAGCATTTGAATAGCTGTGTGAGCTCTTTCCTCATCTCTAAAATGGAGACAGTTATGGTATCTACCTTGTGGTAGTTGTGAGGATAAATAGGTTAATGTATGTACGGTACAAAGTGTTATCTTTTTTTTTTTTTAGACGGTCTAGCTTTGTTCCACTCTGTTCCCTGGGTAGAGTGCAATGGGGTGATGATCATAGCTCACTGCAACCTCAAACTCTGGGGCTCAGGTGATCCTCCTGCCCCAGCCTCCGAGTAGCTGGGACTACAGGCATGCAGCACCTCACCAGGCTAATCTTTTCTATTATATTTTTGGTAGAGAAGGGGTCTCGCTCCTCTTCAGGCTGATCTTGAACTCCTGAGCTAAAGCAATCCTCCTACCTCGGCCTCCCTGAGTGCTAGGATTACAGGCCTGAGCCGCTGCAGCACCTGGCCAAAAGTGTTACCTTTATTTTTGATTCTTTGTTCTTCTTAAATTTAAAAGGGTAAAATCTGGCCTGGCAGCCTGGCTCATGCATGCCTTATAATCCCAGCACTTTGGGAGGCTGAGGTAGGAGGGTGGCGTGAGCCCAGGAGCTGGGATACCAGCCTGGGGCCCATCTCTACCAAGAAAAAAAATTGGCCAGGTGTAGTGGTGGGTGCTTGTAGTCTCAGCTACTTGGAAGACTGAAGCAGGAGGATGGCTTGAGCCCAGGAGTTTGAGGCTGCAGTGAGCTATGATTGTGCCATTGCACTCCAGCCTGGGCAACGGAGCAAGACCCTGTCTCAAAAATAAAGATAAAAACTTATTCTCATTTTCATTTTTTTTCAAGCAAACAAGGCTAGGGAAGAAAGAAATTCAGATTCTAATCTAAAAGACTGCACATTAAAAGGTGCTCTAGCAATTCAATGTATTAATAGTTACTTTTATTGAAGGAGAGAAAGAAAATAGGGTCACTGGAGCGTATCTCACTGCTTCAGTATACTCATCCTTCTACAGAATAATCATTAGTGGCTTTATTTTTACTTAATGATAAAAATGTGAAAGCCAGAAAGCCCTTGCCTCACATCCCACCCTCAGAAATTTCATTTAAATGTGACAGACTAAAAGACTGGATTAAAATAAACAAGTAACTCTGTTTATAAAACATGTTAAACATAAGGATATAGAGGATATTGTCAAATGTCCAAAGAGAGCATTACTACAGATGCTTAAAAACATTAAGAAGGTAAGGATATGATAGGAAAAATTTCTAGAAAAACTCCTTTCCAAAACTGATGCAAGAAGAAATAGAAAATCTAAAATAGTCCTGTAACAATTACATAACTTGAATTTGTCTTACTCATCTAGGCCCAGATGGTTTTTCGGAAGTGTTCCATAATTCAAGGAAGAAATTATCGCAACCCTTTTTGTATATTTTTCCAGGAAATAGAACACTACTTCCCTCTATTTGCTCTTCCCAAGGAATGGAAGATGTTCCCCCCACCCCAAAGATTATTTTACCTTTCATATTTAGATGTGTAATCCATCTACAATTGAGTTTGGGTATGGTATAAGGGGATAGAATTCACTTCAGGCAAAGTAGGCTCACCTTTCCCAGCTTTAATTAACACCAAGTCAAGCTGGTACCCTCTTCCTGAATGTTTACCTTTTTTACTAAACACTTCTCTCTTTTAGGCTGTTTAGTATAGTTTACCTCGACTATAATCTGAACAAATTATGTAATACTGAGAATTTTTTCGTTTTTTATTTATTTCAAAATATTAGTGGGTTACAAATGTTTTTATTACATGCATACCTTGCATAATGCTTAAGTTGGGGCTTTTCATGTGCCCATCACAAGAATAGAGTTCGTTGTACCTGATAGATAAGTTTTTACCCTCCCCCTTTGGTTTCCAATGTCTTTTACATCTCTTTAGCTCCCAATTATTAGAGAGTAAATGTGGTGTTTGTTTTTCCATTCTTGAGATACTTCACTTAGGAGAATGGTCTCCAGTTCCATCCAAGCTGCTACATAGGGAATTATTTCATTCTTTTTTTTATGGCTGAGTGTAGTACTCCATGGTGTATAAATACTACATTTTCTTTATTTAGTCATGAATTGATGGGTGCTTAAGTTGATTCCACATCTTTGCAGTTGTGGATTGTGCTGCAGTGAACATTCAAATGCAGACGTCTTTTTGATAAAAAGATTTCTTTTCCTTTGAGTAGATACCTGGTAGTGGGATTGCTGGATCAAATGATAAGTCTATATTTATTTCTTTCAAGAATCTCCATACTGTTTTCCATAGAGGTTGTACTAATTTGCAGTTTCACCAACAGTGTATAAGCATCCTTTCTGTCTGCATTCATGCTGGCATCTGTTGTTTTTTGACTTTTATTATGGCCATTCTGACAGGGGTAAGGTGGTATCTCATTGTGATTTTAATTTGTGTTTCCCTGATGATTAGTGATATTGTGCATTTTTTCATATGTTTGTTGGCCATTTCTTTTGAGAAACTTTTGTTCATGTCTTTTGTCTCTTTTTTTTTTTTTTTGAGACAGAGTCTCACTCTGTTGCCCAGGCTAGAGTGCCGTGGCTTCAGCCTAGCTCA